GGATCGTGCCCATCCTCAGGACGCGCGAAAGGGCGTTCGGATGAGTTCGACATGCGGCGCAAGAGGCCCGCTTGGCACATTTTGATGACAATGTTGGAAAACAGATGGCTGTCTCAAGAATTCGCAAGATCGCGCACGCGTGGGTGTTGTTTCTTTTTGTGTAAGAACTGGCGTTTGAAAAATGTTTGTATACGTGTTCGAATCACTCGCCTTCTGAGAAATCCGTAAAGAACCTATCGTTTGTGACGGATTTCGGCATGCGCGCGCGACGACGCGCGCGCGCACTTCGTTCCAATTATGTTGCAAGTGACTCTTGAAAACTGATGACTGAAAAACGACAGCGCGTGCACAGGATCTGTTGCACAGAATGAGGGGGTATCGGTATCGGCCTGGCCGGGATGCGAGTTCATATTTCGGATGGACGGTGGGGCAGAATCATACAGGGGCTTATATATATGTATATATAGAAGGAATTATAAACATAAGGAATTTGAAATTCTAGGTTGTCCCGTAGAAATTCTAGCCCCGAATCAAGGCAGACAACAAAGTCAGGAAATAAAAAAAAGAAGCGGACCCGCGAAGCGGCATGAAACAAAACAAAGAACACCCTGGAACAGCAGGAGGAAGATCTGGGACAAATCTGTCGAGAGATCCGGGGAGTGTCCAAAGGAAGACTTGACGCGGTTGCACAGCGATACATCTGGAGGAATGTTTCGGGAATAGTTGCGGAAATTTCTGAAGGAGGAAGATCTGGCGGAAGGTCTGGCGAAGGATCTGACGGAAAATCTAGCGGAAACTCTGGCGGAAGATCCCGCGGAAAATCTGGAGGATAAATCTGGCGGAGGATCTGTCCGAAGATCTGGCGGAAGATCTTGAGGAAGATCTGGCGGAAAATCTGGCGGAAGATCCAGCGGAAGATCTGGCGGAAGATCCCGCGGAAGATTTAGAATATCAATCCGGAGGAAAATATAGCGGAAGATCTGGCGAAAAATCTCGCTGAAGATCTGGAAGAAAATCAGGCGGAAGATCTGGCGGAAGATCTCGCGAAACATCTAGCGGAAGATCTACCGGAAGATCTGGCGGAAGATCTGGCGGAAGAGCTGGCGGAAGATCTGGCGGAAGATCTGGCGAAAGATCTGGCGAAAGATCTGGCGGAAAATGTGGAATATACCTCTCGAAGAAAATCTGGCGGAAGATGAGCCGAAAGATCTCGCGGAAGATCTGGCGGAAGATCTCGCGTAAGATCTGGAGAAAAATTTGGCGGAAGATCTTGAGGAAGATATGGTGGAAGATCTGGCAAAAAATCCCGCGGAAAATCTAACGGAAGATTTGCCAGAAGATCTGGCCGAAGATATTGAGGATGATCTGGCGGAAGATTTGGAGCAAGGTCAGGCGGAATCTGGAAGATCAATATGTAGGAAGATATAGCCGAAGATCTGGCGGAAGATCTGGGATGCAAATCTGTCTGAAGATCTGGTGGAAGATCTGGCGTAAGATCTGGCGAAAGATCTGATGGAAAATCTAGCGGGAAATCTAGCGGAAGATCCCGCGGAAAATCTGGAGGATAAATCTGGCGGAGGATCTGTCGGAAGATCTGGCGGAAGATCTCGGGTAAGATCTGGAGAAAGATTTGGCGGAATATCTGGAGGGAGATGTGGTGGAAGATCTGGCGGAAAATTCGCGGAAGATGTGCCAGAAGATCTGGCGGAAGATCTTGAGGAAGATCTGGGGGAAGATCTGGAAGAAGATCTGGCGGAAGATCTGGAGGATAGATCTGGCGGAGAATCTAGAAGATCAAGCGGAAGATCTGGAATGCACATGTGGCTGAAGATCTGGCGGAAGACCTGGCGTAAGATCTGGCGGAAAATCTGGCGACAGATCTGACGGAAGATCTGGAAGAAGATCTGGCGAAAGATCTGGCGGAAAATCTTCTGCCAGATCTTCACCCAAATTTGCATTCCAAATCTTCCGCCAAATCTTCCGCGACATTCTCCGCAAGATCTATCCTCCGATCTTCCACCTGACCTTCCTCCAAATCTTCTGCCAAATCTTCCTCAAGATCTTCCGCCAGATCTTCTGGCACATCTTCCGTTAGATGTTCCGCCAAATCTTTCGCCAAATCTTCCACCAAATCTTCCTCCAGATATTCCGCCAAATCTTTTCCCAAATCTTACGCGAGATCTTCCGCCAAATCTTTCGCTAGATCTTCCGCGAGGTCTTCCGGCAGATCTTCCGCCAAATTTTCCTCCAGAACTATAGTCCACATCTTCCGCCAGATCTTCCGCCAAATTTTCCGCCAATTTCATCCTCCAAATCTTCCGCCAAATCTTCCGCCAAATCTTCCGCGAAATCTTCCGCCAAATCTTCCGCCAAATCTTCCGGCAAATCTTATGCTAGATGTTCCGCGAGATCTTCCGCTAAATCTTCCGCCAAAACTTCTTCCAAATCCTCCGCGAGATCTTCCGCCAAATCTTCCGCCAAATTTATCCTTCAAATACTCCGCCAAATGTTCCGCCACATCTTCCGTCAAATCTTCCCCAAAATCTTCCGCCAAACCTTCCAGCAAATTGATCCTCCAAATCTCCCGCGAGATCTTCCGCCAAATCGTCCGCCAAATCTTCCGCCAAATCTTCGGCCAAATGTTTCTCAAAATGTTCCGTAAAATCTTCCGCCAAATCTTCCGCGAAATCTTCCGCTATACGTATCTTCCGCCATATTGATCCTCAAAATCTCCCGCGAGATCTTCCCGCAAATCTTCTGCCAAATGTTCCGCCTGATCTTCCACCAGATCTTCCGTCAAACCTTTCGCCAGATCTTCCGCCAAATCTTCCGCCAGATCTTCCGACAGATCTTTCCCAGATCTTCCTCCCTCAGATTTTCCCGCAGATCTTCCCCCAAACATGTCTCCAAATCTATCGCTTTGCAACCTCCGCCAGGGGGAGGAGGAGGAGGAGGAGGAGGAGGAGGAGGAGGAGGAGGAGGAGGAGGAGGAGGAGGGGAAGGGGGAGAAGGAGGAGAAGGGAGACGAGGAGGAAGAGGAGGTGGGGGAAGATAGCCGTGACCAGTTCTAAAGCTAGGTGTTCGACGTTCCCTCGCGCGAGGACGGCAGGGCATGACACAACACAAGGAAGCTCAAAACATGTGATCTTAGAGTAGGTCCGCGAGACTGAAGCCAGGCATGCCCGTCTAGTTCTTTTGAGCTCCCTGTACGGCAGGTTCGCGTCGTGTCGACCCCGGCGTTGGTTTCTGACACCGCGGGGATCGTTCAACCTTGAACGATCGGCCGTTTCCGAAACGTCAAAATCGTTCCACATCGAACGATTCTGGGTCGCCCGCGGCGTTCAAGGTTGAACGCCGCTGGCGGGGTCGCCGCCGGTCGACACGACACGAACCTACCGTATGTAGATTCACTGCGAAAAAAGGAGCGATTTTAAATCCGGGGGGGCTGGCGGCGGCGGCGGCGGCGGCGGCGGCAACGACGGCAGGCGCCCCCGGCGGGGCCTGGCGCCCGACGCCGCCGAGGAGGCGTTGCCGCGCAGGTCCTTCTCCAGGTCGATCCTCGGGCGGAGCACGCCGGGGGCGGCGAGGAGCGAGGAGCGGAGAGCGGAAAAGCGGAGAGCGGCCGCGGAGGAGGGAGCGAGGGAGGGAGGAAGGGAGGAAGAGGAAGAGGAAGAGGAGGAGGAGGAGGAGGAGGAGGAGGAGGAGGAGCACGCTTAACGTCAGCGCAAGGCTACCCCGCCTCACACTCAGGTGGAGGGGTGCGGCCACCCGAGGCCTGCCTGCCAGAGTGAGGTCACGGTGGCCCTGCCGCACACCGCCGAGGTGGGGGGGGGGGGGGGGAAAGAGGGGCGCGGCTGGCGCAGCAGAGAAGGGGGCGAGCGAGGTCCTGCAGGGACTGGGGCCCGCCCTCTGGGCCTCCAGAGGCCTCCAGGGGCATCGTCACCCTCTCCCTCCTCCTCCTCCTCCTCCTCCTCCTCCTCCTCCTCCTCCTCCTCCTCCTCCCTCCTCCTCCTCCTCCCTCCTCCTCCCCTCCTCCTCCTCCTCCTCCTCCTCCTCCTCCTCCTCCTCCTCCTCCTCCTCCTCCTCCCTCCTCCTCCTCCTACCTCTCCTCCTCCTCCTCCTCCTCCTCTCCTCCTCCTCCTCCTCCTCCTCCTCCTCCTCCTCCTCCTCCTCTCCTCCTCCTCCTCTCCTCCTCCTCCCTCCTCCTCCTCCTCCTCCTCCTCCTCCTCCTCCTCCTCCTCCTCCTCCTCCTCCTCCCTCCTCCTCCTCCTCCTCCTCCTCCTCCTCCTCCTCCTCCCTCCTCCTCCTTCCTCCTCCTCCTCCTCCTCCTCCTCCTCCTCCTCCTCCTCCTCTCCCCCACCTCCTCGCCCGAAAACGCCGTTGCCCTTGGACCGTGTCGGCGTGTGAGACTGCTGCCCCATCCCCGGGAGCCCGGACCGGCTGTTTTTGTCTGGAAGGGGTGGGTGGGAGAAGGGGGGCAACTGGGATGGCGGCCGCATCCGCCCCACAGAAAGCGTTCCCAGGCGGCCTCCGAGGGCCTCCGCGAGGCCCCAGCCGCGCCCACTGCCCGCGAGCCCAAGGGAGCCTTCGCGTCGCGCCAGACGGTGCCCCAACACGCAGCAGGATGGCCCCTGGGCGCCCCGAGAAGAAGGCCCCCCGAGGCGCACCGAGAGCGCTCCAAAAGGACTCCAAGCAGGAACCGAGAACAGCACGAAGGGCCCCTGGGACACACAAAGAAATAGACAAAAGTAACAGGATGTCCCATCGTTTCCTATATTTTAGGGATTTTCGTCTTCCCCCCGTTTCTCATATTTTCCCATCTTTCCTAAGGGAATCGACGATTAAATGTGTCTGTCGTTTTTTCTGAAACAAGTCGTCCAATTCCAATGGGGAAGCGTACATCCCACCAGCCTTCTAACCGTAGAAGGTTTGGGGCGCTTTCTCTTCCATCTGCCCCTCTTCACATTGGGGGGAGGGGCCTACATGCTACTTATATGTTGGGAGGGCGGGTGGGAGTGTGCGAGACGGCTTGCGGGCAGGGAGGGTGTCTTGATCACTGCTCCCTATCAACATACAGCCACTCCCCCAGGAGACCGGCAGCCAACCAGGAACGTTGCCGACCCTATGAGCGCCCCCCTCAACCATCCCTGTCACGAAAACAATACACAACGCACTCTGTCTCCAACTTCGGAGCATGCGCAACCAAGCCGATGCGCCCCCCCCCACACCATCACCGTCTGAACCGTGCGCGCGAGGCACGCGAGCACACTGCATTGTTTTTGTTGCCACGGACGGCGGGCGTGTCAGCACATTGCCTGCTGCGCGCAGGGGCAATCACCCCTGTCAAAGCAGTGCAGCATGCACCATCTGGATCATTTGGGCGCCCGAGTTATCCGGGGTAACTCGGGTCCGGGGTAACTCGGGTTTGGATTCCCGAAAAAGGAACCCGAGTTATCCCTGACCCGAGTTACCCCTGATGATTCGGGGCTCTGGACGCCCGAGTTATCCGGGGTAACTCGGGTCCGGGGTAAGTCGGGTTCGGATTCCCGAAAAGGAACCCGAGTTATCCCTGACCCGAGTTACCCCTGATGATTCGGGGCTCTGGACGCCCGAGTTATCCGGGGTAACTCGGGTCCGGGGTAAGTCGGGTTCGGATCCCGGAAAAGGAACCCGAGTTATCCCTGACCCGAGTTACCCCTGATGATTCGGGGCTCTGGGCGCCCGAGTTATCCGGGGTAACTCGGGTCCGGGGTAAGTCGGGTTCGGATTCCCGAAAAAGGAACCCGAGTTATCCCTGACCCGAGTTACCCCTGACGACTCGGGGCTCTGGATCATGCGCGGCCACCCCGCGATCACTGTCAAGCCATTTTTGCTCGGCCCTGGCCGCGGCCCCCGCCCGGGCCCCCGCCGCGGGCCCCGGCCCCGGCCCCTGCGGCCGTGGCCACACCCCGACCCCCAACAGAGCCCAATACGCCCCCCAAGAGTGCTCCAAGAGAGCTTCCAAAGCGTCAGCGCCATCGTCGTCGTCGTCGCCGTCGTCGTCGCCATCGTCGCGTCATCGTCGCCGTCGCCGTCGTCGTTGTCGTCCTCCTTCGAGGTCGGCGGCACATGCCGTGAAGCTTTCGAATTACGGGTGCCCCTACTGCCCGGACATTTTCCGGGGCGCGTGCTGACCAGGACCTCGAATCAAACCAAGCCGCGGCGGCAAAGGCCACCCCGGAGGCCCAAAAAGCCGATACCGAGGGAAACTTGCATTTTTGTTCGCAGCCTGGGCCCCCGATCTCTCGACCCATTCCCTGGAACCGGCTTGTCCCCCAAAATGTGTTGGTTGACGCCCCAGCGGTTCGGTAGAAAGGGCCCCAAGATGCCGAAACCGAAGAGAAACCTCCGTCTCGATTATGCGCGACGCGGAATGTCTGGGAAACCCTATTTATTCCCCCCCCCTGGCGGGCCGTCCTTGCCGAGGCGGCCCCGGCGACGCACAACGCCGCGCGAGCCACGAGGAGCGCGCGCCGTGACATCGGGCTGGGCACAGCGTCGTGCACGGAAAAGGATGTGCGAGGGCGGGGGGGGCCCTCGCCGCGACCATGCGGGTCGGGGCTCAACGCTCGATGGGGGGGGGGGGGGGGGGGGGAAAACGACAATGGAAGGGGAGAGGACAAAAAAGGGGAGGGAGGGGAGGAGTTGCGAAAAATACGGATATTGCTGATGCGTCGGGCACATACAAGGACTTAAAGCAAATCGTGCTTCTCGTCTGGCTTTACCAGCTTTGCTGTAAGCTTTGGGCCAAACCCACGAGAAATATTACGCAAGTGATCAGCACGATTGCCTTCGGCTCGGCCAACGCACCTCTTGCCAAGCTGGGCCAAATTCTGGTCCGCAGCGCTTTCGCAGGCACCACAAAACCACATCCCCAGCCCAGCGTGAAACTATATCGAATGGGACACATCCGCCCACCCCTCTCAGACGTGCACCCTGCAATTGGGGGGAGGCCTGCAAACAACGCCACCGATTGCCGCCAGGTCAAAACGTGGGGCATCTAACCACACTTTCCGCCGAGCTTTGGACGTGGAACTCCTACACTTCAAGCGTGCGGGATCATTTTCAGACAGCGAAAGCTGAAAGGCAAACCCGTTCCCAAACACGAGGGGCGCGAGGACTGGGCACAGGATTCCTGACGCGGGCACTTCGGAGCTCCTCGGCGGCCAAGGCTTGCACTGCTTTTAACGCACCGCTGGTGCAAACATAAATTCGCACGCGGACAGCGGAAGCCATCTTCTCATCCAAACAAACTCTCGCTCTGTCGGCAGCTGGGATATGACTGCTTGCGCCGCGGCCTCAGCCAGGTCTCCCGCCGCATTCCCGACCGTTCGAGGCGACCCCCCTGGGAGACCACCCTGAACTTCCTGGTGGAAGCGAAATAAAATAACGGTGCACTGCAACTGAGCCCTGGCGAACAAAACCTGACCTATCTCGCGCCACAAATACGCGCGCCCCCCGTCCAAGGCGAAAGCTCGGCCGCAATGCCACCCCGCACAAAAGTTGACATCGTCGGCGGCATATCTAATTTTTCCACTAGAACATGCGAGGGCGCGCGGGAAACTGCAAGGACCCTCGTTTGCCGCTGTCTGCTGCTGCCCCGGGGGGCCCATGCTCGGCGACGCCGCGCCCCGCTCGTCCGAGGCGAGGACCGCTGCTACCCTCGCCCCCGCCGGCGCCCCCGACGAGGACGACGGGCGCGCACTCTGAGACCAAAACGATGCACTCATCTTCGAACACCTCGACGCCCTCGCCCCGCCCCGCGACCCAGGCCCCCCCCCCCGCGCCGTCGGGGCGGCGGCCTGCGACTTGGGCAAAAGGCGCCGACGCCAACAGCACGGCTAGACCCCATGCCTCGCGCAGGCGCGCGGGGCGCATTCATCGGGCGCGTCGCAAACGCCATGATCGGCACGCTTCGAACAACTCCGGAACCCGTGAAAAAATGTCCATCTCTCAGCTCGGCGCCGCGCAGAAATCTGAGAAGGCGGCTCCTCTGTCGCCCCCGATCCTTGTCGCGACTGCGCAGACCCTGCCACCGCCAACGAAAGAGTTCCCGACAATCGTTCGCAGCCCGGGCCTGTCTTCAGCCGGCGAAGAAGTGCTCGAAGCGAGGGTTGCGCGCCCCATCTTGCACCCCAGCGCCGTCGTCGCGGCCCGCTGCTTCGCGCCGCGGCCACTTCGGGACAGCGCCCTCGCGCCCCTGCAGGAAAGGCCCCTGCCGCGCCCACCGTCGCGAAGCCTGCGAGAGCCACTGGGAGAAACTCCCAAATGCGCTGGAATCCCGAACCGCCGTCGCCAAAGCGCCAGTTCGCCGGGGCTCCAGGCTCCCATGCTGCAAAGAGTAAGGCGCGCACTGTTGCGCGGGGCGCTCACATGCGTCGGCGGCGAAGCTGCGGAGGAACGCCGCGAAACGCCCGGGCGATCTGCCCCCGTGGCATCGCGACACCACCTCGTTGACGCCCGGCAAAGCCGCGACCGAGTCCGCGCCGAGTCTAGGCCGCCGCCGCGACGGAGAAACCCGGCATCTCGAGGCGCCTCGCAACCTCCTCGGCGTCGGCGAGCTCGCCGCGCACCACGGCGCCCCCCGGGGGATCGCGGGGCCATCCTTCTCCGCGCGTCGGCGCGTCTCCCTCGAGCAAGCGACTGGCCGATCACGGGCCGACGAGAGCCTTTAGCTACCTGGCTCATATCATCAATCCGCAACCTGCGCGGCACGCGCGCACGCGTACCAGCGGCGCGCTTCGCGATCTAGAGCGCGACCGCCACGGCGAAACGAGCGCCCGAGCGCGGGCCTTACGCGGCCGGCATCGCTGGGCCGAAGACAGCCGAGTAGGCCCCCGACTGCCGCGGGCACTGCGCAGCCATGTGCTGCGGCAGCTCCACCCCGAGCACCTCGGCCGGGAACTCCAGCTCCACGGTCGACGCCCCGAGGCGCTGCCACCCGATCGCGTCGTAGAAGCTGGCGATGTCCAAGGGCCCATGGCCATGGGCCGCGCCCAGACGCGCCGCCAACTCCTCGCCCGCCACGCGGAGGAAGGCCTCCAGCAACGCCGTTTTTGGCGCGGATCGCGACGCCCCACGGCGCCTCGCAGTCGTCAGTCCGCGCGCGCACCCAGGCCCCCGCGCCTCCGACCATGGCCCGGCGCTGCGCGGCGGCAGTCCGATGACCCCGTCACCCGCGACCCTCTTCGGCAGCAAGATGCATATCGCCAGCAACAACTGACGCGGCCATGCTCGGCAACTTCTGCAACCCGCAACGGCGACTGCGAGCCCCGTGCGCGCGACGTCGGGGGGGTCGTCGGCGTCGAGGGAGGCGGGGCGATCATCTCGCTGAACAACGGACTGCTTCATCCGACGCCCTGCCCCGCGCAGCTGATCGCCAGCGAGCGGCGGGAACGCCTCGCCTACGCCTCGGGCGCGCATATCTGAGAGGAGATCATGAGGTCCTCGAGGCACTGACCGACTGGGGCCCGCGCATTCTGAAACCGCCCCCCCCTTCTTCTGATCCCGGATTTCCGGCCGCGCACCCGCCGACGCGGGAGCGAAGAACCTGAGGGGCTTCTCGAAACGCGCGACGCGGATTCTGAGACTCTGTCCTATGCCGACAGTTTACCATCGACTGGTCGACAGCTCCCCGATGCGCCCTCCGAACCACCTTCTGCCTGAAACTCGCTGCATCGGTCAACTCGCGACTGCTCCACCACTGACGACCGACAGCAGCTGATGCCGCGACGCCCATGATATCCCATCGCCGGGCCCGGAGACCTGGCGCCTCTATTCCGAGGCCGCGTCGCAAAGCCTCCGGCAAGTGCAAACGAACAACCCCCGCCGCTTCACCCTGTTCTGCCTGGAAAGATGCTTGGAATATGGATCGAGAACGAGATGCGCTCTGGCCCGCAAGCCATTGATGCGATCCCTCGGCGGCGACGACGCTTGCAGGCGTGGCCCCCAGCGCGGCATCAGCATGGAACTCGGGCCCCCCGGGCGCCCGAAGCTGGCCCTGCCGCGGCGAGGGGCCGCGGCGGACTCAGCAGCGCGCGCCCACGCGCCGAGAAAACCGCTGATGCGAACGCAATATCTTGACCCCAGGGAGAAGGCCACGGTAATGGCGACAGCGACAACGGGCGGGTGGGCACCCAACTACAAAACGCTTACTGATTCCACTTCGGCGCTCCGAATTGTAGCCATCGACTGTAGAAATGACGCAGGATTCAATGCGGAAGCGGAAAATGCGCACGACGTCTTGCGTCGTTGCTCTCCTGCGCCACGGCGGCGCGTTCGAATTGCCGAGCCGCGCCATGCGCTCGCGCCCTGGGCCCCCCGTCGGGGAGCACCTGCAACTCGTTGAAAACATGTCCAAGGGTCGCCGCGACCCGATGCAGTGCGACACGGATGATTCGAGCCAGTGCATCGCGGGGTGAACTGGCAGAGAAGACGGGGGCCCCGCGCCCCCCATACGGGCCATTGCCCCGCGCCCCCAGGGCCGCCGAGGCAGACCGCGGACTTCGCCAGAGCGAAGAAACGGCTTTCCTCAAGCGAGGAGGCGGCTTCACTAGAGCGAGGAAGCGGCTTTACCAACGCGAGGAAAAAAGGCTCGGTCAAAGGCGCGCCGCTCAATGCATTCCGCAAGAAAAAAAAAAAAAACGTTCTCCTTAGGCACAAAGAGAGCTCAAGTAAAGCGGAGAGACGGCCGGGGTAAAACTGCACACAGAAAGCCCCCTCCCCCCATGAATCTGGCGCGGGGATTCAGGAACGAGGGCAGGGCGCAAGTGCGCCCGCGCGCCTGGGCCGTCGCCGCCCCGCCGCGACGCTTGTCGTCGCAACCCACGCCGTCGCCGCCGTCGTTGTCGCCGTCGGCGCAGACGCCGCCGCGGTCGTCGCCGTCGTCGTCGTCGTCGCCGACGCCAGCGCGTTCGCACTCATGCAAGCGTCGGGTCGCGCGCGACCGCGCGAGCCACTGCGCTCGCATTTCGGCGCCCCCGACGGGGCCCAGGCGGGCGTCGCGTCGTTCTCCCGCCGACAACTTCTTAAAACATAACTGGGGCGATTGCGCCTCTGATCGAAAGAACCCGCGGCTGCCTGGGGCGACTGCTCGCGAGGCGGATGCTCGGGGCTAGAATCCATTAGGGGCGTCTCGCGCCGGGCCGAATTACACGCTGGCTGCGCGACTGACCCCGAGAGAAGCATCGAACGGAGCGGGGCCCGGTCTGCAAATCGCCTCGAAGGCCCAGGGGGCCCCTCCGCAGTCAGCGCGGGAGTCGCCGCCCCCAGCTCGTCGCCGACGCCTGTCCTGGGCTTTCCGGGGGCGCCCCGTGGCTCAGCCCCCCCCCCCTCGCCCGCGGGCCCAACGGGGGCGCGCGCGAATTCTACCGCGGCGTCTCTGTTCAGCTAGTCGCCGCGCAACCCTACGCGCCGATTTCGCGAGACTCGTTTCGAGTCTTCGATTGATTGGTTGCCGGGCCGGACGCGGCGCCACTGGAAG